CCCGAGCGCCCCAGCCCTGCCCCCGGGCCACCCCCAGGTCCTCCAAAGCCCCAGGACCCCCAACACTTGGAAGCAAAGGCTACAGGTGTCGCTGCAGAAGGACTCAGCCAGCCCAGCCCGGGCAGGGTCAGAGGACCCGGGAAGGAGGCCCCGGCGAGCAGGAGGGCAGGCGCCCACCCGCCTGGGCATCGGCAGGGCCCTGGCCGTACGTAACGAGCCGAAACCAGGAGCTTCCAGGGGCGGCTTGCAGGGCTGTGTCCTCCTGGGCCCCAGGCAGCGCTTCCTGCAGGGCCCCCCCAGACAGCCACGTCCTGCCCGGCCCAAACGCCCTGGTCCCCGGGCGCCCAGTGACGGTTTCCCAGACTGCGGCCCAAAGGTGGTTCAACAGAAACCCTACTCGGCACTGGTTTAAATAATAAGGTGGCTGGAAACAAAAACGCGCTGGCGCTCTGGGTTCCTCTCGCAGGGAGGACCCCAGTTCTGCCAGCAGCAAAACCAAACCCTGAAGATGCCGGAAACAGTGGAAGCCCCACCCCAGCGCCACTTCCAGCAGGAGATAAGAGAAACAAGAAGAAAGCACATTTTCAAGATCCTTTTTCTCCTCCACGTCAGTCAACCGGGAGCCCACCCCCCACCTGCACAGTCTCTCCCACCAAAGCCTCGGGGTGCTGGTCAGCAGTATCCCGGCCAGGCCATCTGCAGGTGTCCGGCTCTGTCCTGGTGGAGAAAGCCGGGGTGGGGGGCTGGGGAGGTGATGGTGGGGAGGGGGCTGGGAGGGGGCCGGGAGAGCCCCACAGGGAAGGGCAGCAGGGGCGGGACCGCAGCCCTCGGCTCCAGCCTACCAGCTCCTCTGGTCCCGCCTGGACAGCGGAGCCCCCCCACCCCTGCCTCCTGGCACCCCCAGAACAGCTTGTCCCTCACTCAGACAGGATTCCGGACCCAGGACCCTGTCCTGCCCGAGTGCCTCTCGCCCAACACGAGCGCCCGAAGGCCAGCCCCAGCACTGACCATCCACGTAGGGGGGCATCTCAGGCCCGGGCAGGGCTGCTTGTGGCAGTCACCTGTGGCCTATGCCGGGAGCCAGGAGGCACTGCCCGGAGGCCACAACCAGCACGTGCACCAGGCATGGCCCCGCCGCCTGGGGGTGCACGGGGTCCTGGAAACCTACACGCTGCTTGGACACTCCCCACTCCACCCCCCTCTCCAAGGCCAGGGCACAGCCCTGGACATTCTGATCAAGACTGGAGTGTGGGGTCACCAGGATGGAAGGGGCCTTGGGGGTCCAGCCCTCCAGGGCTCAGATAGAGCCACGCACAGACGAGCATTCTGGGGCTCTGAGGGCCAGCCAATCACCCACATGTCCATCATGACTCTGGTCCTGCCTGGACAGCTGAGCCCACGTCCCTCCTGGCACCCCTGCCCCCAGAGCAGCTTGTCCCTCATTCAGACAGGGTTCCTGACCCAGGGAGGTCCCTGCTCAGGGTTCAGAAATGCCTCTGGGCTGAGCTCGGGCCAGAAGGGGCTTCAGACACTGGCCCAAGCTTGGCCCACTCCCCTTCCCCAGGGGGCCATTACAGGGAACCACAGCCGGGGGGGCAGGGGCAGGATTCAGGTCATTCGTGGCAGAACCAAAGGCCGAAGCCTGGGAGCCCTGGCGGTGAGAGCGGGAGGCCATCAGGTCCAGTCCCCTGCCAAGTGCTCAGATCCGGGGCTCTCTGGGGGGCCGCCTCTGTGGCCCATGACACAGCCAGAGTGTGGACGTGTAGGGGCGTTCAAGGCAGGGCCAAGCGCCCCTGACCACCCTCCGTGCCACAGGCTGGGCCTCCGGGCTGGGAGTCCATGACCACAGCCCAGCAGAGGGCAGGCCCCTTCCAGCAGTGCCCGAGACAAAGCCACGGCAGCTGCTAGCCACCAGGCCCAGGTCCTCCCTTCCCTCCGGGAACACACGCTGAGACCCGAGACAGGAGGCCCATGGGCCTCCTCTGCTGACCATGGCGCCCAGGGACGGTGACAGACACCCTTGGACAGAACCCCTCCCCCCAAGACAGCGCGTCCCTGGAGGCGCCTGCCCGGCTGGCGGGCACTGGGTAAGCGCCAGTCCCGCCCCCCCCGCCTGGCCCGGGGGAGCCGAGGAACAGTCCCGCGGCACGGGGCAGGGGCAGGCAGGGCAGGCTGAGGGCTCCCGGGCAGAAGCGGCTTCCTGCCCAGCTGGGCTGAGTCCTCGGGCAGCGACGGGCCTTCCAGGAGCTTCCCTTCTGGCCAGGGCCCACGGACAGAGACGTCAGAGCCGCCAGCGAGGCCCTCCGCAGTCACCCAACTTTATCAAGACAAACGCGTTCAAGTCTTCAATAGGAAAGTGCAAAAGGTGTACAAAGAAATGGAACCTCTTCTAGGAAGGCGTCTGGAGGAGGTGGCAAGGGACACGTCCTGGCGAGGTGTGGGGTGACGCGGCGCGGACGCCCGGGTTACGACGACGCGGCACCTCTGGGCTCCGGGCCTCGCCTGCCCGCGGGCTCCTACAAGGGCGGCAGCATTTCCCTCCTGGGGCCCGGCACACGTGCCTGCAAGAGACGCTCGCGCGTCACAGGGGCGCCGGGCCTCCGCCTGGGGAGGGGGCGCCCACGCTGTGGCCCTTGACGCCTGTCACGGGACTCCCATGGAGACCCCCCGCCTCAGATCCCCAGCCGGGCTGAGGCCCCTCTCAGAGTACCAGCGAGCACCCGGAAAGTGGCCTCCCCCTCCAGCCTCAAGTGCAGTTCTCAGGACAGCCGGGCAGGGGCGCTGGGTGCCCAGGCGGAGACCGGGGTGCCTGCCGGCTCCTCAGAACAAGTTCCGTTGTTCTCACCGTAACATCCCCCAAGCCCTCTGCCACCCTCCTGGCCCTAGGCAGGGCAGGAGGTGACATTCTGGGGCCCCAGCCCCCCCGGGCAGTGGAGGCCGGTCCCCACTGGGCTGGGGCGCACACAGAACCGCCTCGGGTCCTGTTTCCCAGCCTCCCGGGGAGAAGTCTGGAAGCTGGGCATGCACCGGCCCCGGCGGCCCCAGGGCAGGCCCGTGAGCGAGGCCCGGAGCCCGCGCAGGCGCCCGCCAGGCCGGGGCCGGGCCTTACCTCGGCCGGAAAGGAGCGCTGCGGCAGGGGGAAGTCTCGGGGGCGGCTAGATATCTGCCGGAGAGAAGAGCCTCAGCCTGGGGCGGGCAGCGGCGCGGAGGCCGGTGCATGCTGCCCGCAGCAGGGCACCTACCGGTCACATAGGGCCCCAGGGGCATCTGGTTGTAGTTGACAATCCCTCCCGGTCCAGGGCCCCGGAAGTTGGGCCCAAAGCTGTTGTTGTACATCTGGGAGGAGCCGAAAGCGCCCTGGAGGCAAGGACTCAGGTTTAAAGGCGAGGGTCCCACGGCCCCCCAGCCCCGAGGGGGCGCCCAGGAAGCGCGGGGCGGGGCGGGGCGGGGGCCGACCTGCTGGATGGTGGGGTCCCCAGCGCGGTTAGTCAGGCGGCTCAGGATGCTGCGCTCGGACATCTGAAGGCGGGCAGCCACCGGCGGGATGCGGGACAGCATGGAGGGCAGGCGCGTCACGTCCGCCTTCATGTCACTCAGCAGCTCCTCCAGCTGGTTCAGGACTGCAGGGGGCAGGAGTCGCTGGGGCCGGGTGGACGCGGAACCTGGGGGCCTCTGGCCCCTCCTCAGCAGACACCAGGGGGCGCACCTGGCCAGGCCCTCCCAGACCCCCAGACTAGGGGTGGGGTTTTCCAAAGAGCAACCCCCGGGGGCCACGGGGCTGCAGAGATGGGAGCCTGAACATGTGGGCCACATGGGGACAGGGCAGGGGTTCCCCTAAGCAGCTGCCCCAGAAACAGCTCCTCCCTGCAGGGCAGACACAGGAAGGGCCAGCGAGTCCAGGGGCCACTTGCACCTCCACCGTGGCCCAGCCCCTCCCTCCAGGGACCTTCCTGAAGATTTGGGGTATACAGGTCAAAGATCAGGACCCCAGGAATCGTAAGCAATAACCACCTCCCTAAGAAGGAAAAGCCTCCATCCCCCAACAGGTAAGAGGGGGGACTGGGCAGAATGTCCCATCCTGACCAGGGGCACCACCCTCAGGCTGCAGCCGTGTCCCCGGGGCCCACCAGTGCCTCCCCCATGGCCAAGGACCCACTGGGCCTGGCAGGAAGGAGGAGGGGCAGGCCGGACAGCGGGGCAGGCGGGCAGCGGGGCAGGCGGGCGGCGGGGCAGCAGGCTCACGGACCCTTGTGCAGGACGGCGTTGGCCGGCTTGTTCCCCGCCAGGGACTCCTTGGACAGGTGCTGGTGGCTCTCGGCCAGGCACTCCACCTCGGCCAGGCGGGCGTTGAGAGCCATGGCGGGGTGGTTGGGGTCCTGGGTCATGTTGAGGTACGCGGCCCTCCGGAGCTGCTCCTCAATGACCAGCGCCTGCTCCAGCAGCTGAGGGCGGAGGCGGGGAGGCCACGCGGCCACCAGTCATCCACCCTCTGCTCCTCCTGGCTGCCTTCCCAGCCCGCCCCAGCTGGGTTCCCTGCACCTGTCACCCCCAGGCAGGGACGCTGCCCGGCGGCCGGGCCCAGACAAGGACCCAGACTGCCAGCTGGCTGCCCGGCTCCCCCGTGGACAGCCTAGTATAGGTCCACATACGGGAAGGGGGCTGCCTCCCCCTAGCCCCTCCAACCCTCTCAAGAGCCCCCACCCGCGGCCTCTGGCCTGCCGAGGACTGACCTTGAACCTGCGAGCCAGGAACTTGTTCTTCATCTCCAGGTAGTTGCCCTTGTGGATCTCAGACTTGAAGGGCTCGTTGAGGATCATGTACCTGGGGTCGTTCTGGATGTCCTGCCAGCGGGCGTAGCCATGCCTGGGTGGGCGCTGTTAAGGGCAAACCTGGCTTGGGCAGAGACGGGGGCCCAGCTGGGGTTCCGGGAGCCCCCTCAGCTGCAGGAAAGCGTCATGCTGGTGCCCATGGCGATGATGACATGACCATCAGCAGAGGCTGACGCGTGCCCTCTGACACGAGACGTGACCCTGAGGCTCCGCGGGTTAACTCCCCTGTCCCAGCGAGCCAGGGGGAGGACAGAGACATCCCAGCCTCACCCCCGGCCCCTGCAACTGGGACCATTTCGGAAATAAGTTCTTTGTAGATGTAATCAGGTCACTGGGTTAGGGCAGACATTAATCCAGTGACTGGTGCCTTTTTACAAGAAAATAAAATTTGGAGCCTCCCTGGTGGCATAAGGGGTTAAGATGCAACCTATGAAGCTGTCCACAGCCTCTGCAGCATGAGTTCGATCCCCGGCCATGGAGCTACCCACATGGCGCAGGAGACCTCTCCTGTCTCCGCGCTGCTCCCCTCAGCAGTGTGTTTCGTCAGTCTGCCTGTTCTGTTCCCCGCTCTGTCTCTGGTGAATCCTCTCGCCCCCCACACCTCTGGCCTGTACCCTGGTTATTGTATACATAAATAAATAAATTTTCAAGAAAAGAAAAAAGAAAAGAAAATTTGGACACAGATATAACGCGGGGGAGGCGGAGATGTGGGAAAAGAAGCAGAGTGGAGGGGTGGGGCTGCAAGCCAAGGGCACTAGGAATTTACAGCCAGTGCCAGAGCTGGGAAGACAAGACAGCACCCTCCCCAGAGTCTCCAGGGGGAACAAGGAGACAGAGTTATCCTGCCCAGTCAGCAACAGGCAGGGGCAGGATTTGAACCCAGGCAGGCAGGCTCCAAACACCTTTAAACTGTATGACAGGGATCAGGAAACTGGCCCCCTGGCCAAATCCAGCCCACAGTCTGATTTTGCAAATAAAGTTTTATTGGAACACAGCCAGCTCCCTGGCTTATATTGTCTGTGGCTGCTTCTGATGCAAGGACAGAGTGAAGTCACTCTGCAAAGTCTGAAATAGTTGTTCTCTTGCCCTTACAGGAAGTTGCCAGTTCGTTCCACAACTTCACTGCTCATTGTAACAACCAGCTCTATTCAAGGATGTCAGGAAGGCCAGGTTTGCTGGGGGGTTCTCCCTGGGTCGCTGTCATCATCATATCATCATCGCCACCACCACCTTCATCACCGCCATCCCATCACCACATCATCACCACCATCATCACCAGTAAAGGCTCCTTGGCACCTGCTCACAGTGCTGGCTCCTAACCCTAACCCCACAGGCCACGTCCTGCCCCGAGGTCCACAGAGGCGCAGGCAAGAGTCCTGCCCAGCCTGGCCTGCCAAGGATACGTCACAATGCCTGCCAGTAGCCAATAGTCATGGCGTCGGTGCCAGATGTCATAGATTTTCCCCGAGGACACAGCAGCACGTTCCTCATTCTGCCACAGGGTGTGCAGCTCTAGGAGGGGTGCAGAAGGAGAGAGGCCCGTCCACCCGCCTCAGAGAAGCTGGGCCAAAGGAAGCCTCCCCCGCACGACTCCCACCCCGCCCCCGCCTCGGGAGGGTCAGCGCTTCCGCGTCACTAGCAAAGGCCGCACCGCAGAAGGGACTTCCAGCCGCCACTGACACTTCAGAGTAGAAAAACCACCTGCCCCGACTCCAGGGCAGTGTCGCAGCCCCAGCTCTCCGCCCACTGCCCCCCATACCTGTGAAGCCCCCGTCCGCGATGTTGAACATGAACTTGAACTTCCCGGTCCTGTCCTCCTTCCTCCCGTCCTCGTCGTCCTCCCTGTCACCGTTCTGCTGCGTCTCCACAGGCTCCTTCTCCTCAGCTTTGCTGTCATCTGCGGGAGGAAGACAGACCCACATTCACTGCCCCACCCAAAGGCCCTGCCCAGGGGCGTCTCTGCCAGGTGCTGGGGACCCAAAGCCCCCCCCCCCCCGGCTCCGCCGTCACGAGGCTCGCTCCCAAGACGGGCTTCCAGCACACCAGCAGCAACCCCCACCCCCACCCCGGACGAGGGGCCGCTCTCCACCTGTGAAAGGGCCCAGAGCGCCAACAGGGGCAGCCAGGCCCGAGAGGGCAGCGCTGCCTTGAGGCCCCGCAGGCGCAGACAGAGCACCCAAGAGGCCGAGGGACCGAGGACGGCCCACAGAGAAGGCGCCAACCTGGCCTGAAGTCACCGCCGTCCCCCCTGCTGTGCAGCAAGCTGAGCTCCAGCTTGTCCAGCGCCTTCTCCTTCTCCAGAAGCGCCTCTTCTGCAAGACAGAGGGTGTTCGTGGGCGGGAGGGTCTGGTTTGAGCCGCGCCCAGAGCACTCTCCATCAGAGTGAGCAACGTCCCAGCAGGTGCCCTCAGGGGTGCTCCCGTGCGGAGGCAGGAGGCACGTGGAGACCCCCCTTGGCTTACTCCTCCCCTCTCACCCAATCAAGCACCCCAACCCCCAAATTCCTCAAAGCACAGTCTGGAAATCCTCCCTGCCGCACAGTGCTGGCAACAGGACTGGCTTTCATGCCAGCACCCAGAAAAGCCAGGCAGCTCTGGCATGTGGTAGAGACACAGGGGTGAGCCCACAAGAAAAGGAAGAAAGTGTCAGGCACCCAAAGGAAGGGAAACACCAGCTGGACCCCAGACAGGGGTTAGCAGATGCCAGGAAGAGCCCCAAAGGGGGTGGGAGGTGGAGAAAACTGGAGGGAAAAAAAAAAAAAAAAAGAAAAAAAAAGTCTAGAGGCAAAATCCACAACACTAACATTTTACACACTTTCGCTGCAAATTTCTAAGATGTCCTAGCCCCAAAGCCTCGGGACTGAATGGGAGGGGTTCTACTCCCCGAGCAGGCGGTGTGAGGGGGACAGGTCACCTTCAAAGGGGGGAGCCCACCCCCTGGGTGGGCCTCATCCCGGAGCCCTTTAAAACCAGGGTGTTGGGCCTCCCCAGTGGCGCAGTGGTTGAGCGCTGGGTTGCGAAGCTGCCCGCAGCCTCTGCAGCGCCGGTTCGATCCCCGGCCACCGGAGGAGGGTCCCGCATGGCGCGCAGACCTCTCCTGCCGCCCGCTGCTCCCCTCAGCAGTGCATTTCAGTAGGTCCGCCTGTTCTGCTCCCCACTCTGTCCCTGGTGCATCCTCGCACCTCTGGCCTGCACCCCGGGTCTTCTACGCTCTTTATACATAAATACATTAAATCTTTAAAAAAAAAAAAAGAAGAAGAAGAAGACATAAACCAAGGGGCTGCTCCAGGAGGAAGGACACTGAGCAAGCAACGACGAAAACGCAAACACAGACCTGCTGAGGCCGCAGGCCAAGGAAGGGCCAGAGATTCAGAAACACATAAAAACCAATTAAATCTGGGGAATTTAGACAAATAGCAACTAAAACATTGGGCAAGAGCTCAGGGAGGGTGGAGAGGGGCGAAGGGGAGCCACGGTTGGCTCCGGCCCTTGCGTTAGTCGGGAGGGGCGCGTGTTAGAAACCTAAGGAACAAGCCTGGGCACCTCCCAGACGAGCTGAGGAGAAAAAGGGAAGAGTAAAGAAGGTGTGATGACTCCAAGAGAGGGCAGGAAAGGGAACAAAAGCAGGCAGTGCAGAGCCCAAAACAGGGCCTCCCCGGTGGCGCAGGCGGTTGAGCGCCGCACTGTGAAGCTGTCCGCAGCCTCTGCAGCGCCGGTTCCATCCCGGCCAGCGAGGGTCCCCCATGGCACAGCAGACCTCTCCTGCCGCGCCCGCTGCTCCCCTCAGCAGTGCATTTCATCAGTCTGCCTGTTCTGCTCCCCGCTCTGTCTCTGGTGAATCCTCTCACCCTCCCGCACATCTGGCCTGCACCCCGGTTCTTGTATAAAATAAATCTTTAAAAAAAAAAAAAGCCCAAAATAAAGTCATTGGTGTTCTCCAAATTTCCAGCTGTTACAATCACTGTAACGAGATTAAACTGCCGGCCAATAGACGGCTAGATTTGAATGAACAAGTCCCCTCTGCACCCTGCTTGCGAGAGACACTCCTACAACAATCACACAGGTAGGTGCAAAGAAATGGGAAAAAAATCTTGCAAGCCGTCCTGCTGACGAGGAGCACGTACCTACGAAGAAACCTTAACCACTGAGTGAGCAAAGCAGCCGCTGACACAGGGAGCTAAGATCTGAGGTGGCCGTTCCCCAGCAATACAAACGGCCAATGAACTCCAAAAGGATGCATCTTCCTGCCTCAGGGAAACACAGACCAAAGCCACGGGGAGCCGCCCTTCTCGCCCGCCAGGAGGGCCATCACGGAAAAGACAGGTGGTAACTGGCGTCGGCGAGGCTGCGGCGAAACCGGAACCCTCCCTCCTGGCCGGTGGGGCTGGAACTCGGGGCAGCCCGTGGCAAAACACAAGCCGGTGATTCTTCCAAATATCAGGCGGTTACCAGACGAGCCCGCACCGCCCGCGCGCCCCACGTGTGCAGGCGGTCAGTCCCAGCAGCCAGACAGACGCAACCCCAGGCCCGCACCCCACCGTCCACGCAGCGGGACGTTCGGCACAAGAAGGAGCGAAGGTCTCCTAGATGCTCCGGCAGGGATGAAGCTTGAACACAGGCTGCTAAGTGAACGGGGCCACGTTTTGTGATGGAGGGTACTGGGGGGACCCGGGGCGGGGCCCGTGGGAAGCCCCACCTTTCAGCAGTGGCTCTGGGGACAGCTGGGCCTTCTCCGTGTCCTCCCGGGCTCTCTCCTTGCCGTCTGAGCTCTCGTGCTTGTCCTCGCCCTCCACTCTGTCCAGGGCAGCCGGCAGGGCCTGGGAAGGACAGGGCAGGGCTGCTTCAGAGCCTGGGGCCTCGACAGCAACGGAGCTGGCACCCACCCTCCTGGCCCCCAGACCCAGAACCCCAAACTCAGGGCCAGGAAGCGAGGCTTCCAGTTAGATGGGGAAGGCCTGGGAAGGCACCCAGGCCCCACTCACCCCCTGTACCCAGCAGGTGTCCAGGCACCACCACCTTCTGTACCTGGATTTCTGGTGGCTTCTTTGGCTTCTGCACCCCCAGATCCTTCTCCTCCATGTAGCCCAGCTGGGCTTCCATTTTGTCTGAAAGACCAAGAGACGAGACGGTGGGCTCGGGGGTTGCGGGGAGAGGGCAAGAAATGGAGAGCCGGAGAGGAGGGGGGGCCTGGCCTGCAGGAGGCTCCATCGGGGCCAGGCACCACCAGGAGGACAGGCGAGCAGAGACCCAGTACAGAACGCCGACACGGGGATGACCTTGGGCCCACAGGACAGGGCTGCACACAGTGGGGTCACCCCTCTGGAAGCAGGACGCGAGGAGGGTGGAGGCCCAGACAGGAAGCCAGGTCCTAGACATGGTCCCTCCTGGCCGTGAGCCTCCTCGGTGTTGAGTCGGTCTAGACACGATGCAAGGTGCCAGCGGTCCATGTCTCTGAGTAGCCCAAGGGGGGCAACCAGCCCGCCCAGGTCGCCCCAGGTAGCAGAGAAGAAAACATGGCTCATAGGCTCAGGGACCGGCCCAGGGCCACACAGGTGTGTCCACCTCCAGAGGGTGCTCGGGAGCAGGTGTCATGGAGGCCCCCAGGCCACTCGGGGTCCCCCCTGTCACCAGGGACAGGTGGGGCAGGTCTGAGAGACCCAACCACAGGAAGATGCTTCCCCCAAATAGGCACACGGTCACCAAGAGACGCAGGAAGAGCTCAGCCGACCCAGGGACGGAGCCAGCTCGCGGGCAGTGGGTCTGAAAAGGCCTTTGTCCACAGCGGACACACGGCGGCCCCTGCGTGGGTGGGAAGGCTCACAACCCCCAGCCGGAGGGCGAGTTGGAAGGACACGGGCAAGGAGGACCCCACGCACCGCCCGAGCGCGGGCACAGTGGCCGGGCCAGTCAGCCGGGGCCCCTCCCCAGCTCTGCACCCAAGAGAAGCGGAGTCGTGGTGTTCACGGACACAAACAGCCACGGCACCGTCACGCCCAGAATCATCCCGGCCAGACCGACAGCGCGTCCATGCGGAAGGAGCCAAAAAGCAGAAACCACCCAAGATGTATCAGCTGGTGAACGGGTGGCAAACGCGGTCTGTCCGTGCTAACTGGTACGATTCTTTCTGGAAATGCTCTGAACTAGGGTGAGGGTGGCACCACCCTAGGAATATGCTAGAAAATGCCCAAAACGTGCACTTTAAAAGGCTACATTTTGTGGCATACAACTCATCTCTCAAAACTGTCTTCATGAAGACACCCAGGCGGGTAACATGGCTGCAGGCGCAGGCTTTGAGGGGGAAGGCTGTCCTCTGTGGGGCCCCCCCGAGGGGGCCCGTGACCCAGGCGCCCGCCCCCACTCAGCCCCAGACCTGGCAGGCTCAGCGGGGCGGGCGGGAGGTGGGCGGGGCTGGCGGGCACCGGCGTGTTGGGGTCCGAGGAGATGACCTCGCCCGGCTTCTTGCCTTCCGGCCCCTCGGGGACCAAGTCGGGTGTGCTGTACTTCCCGTTGACGTGCTCAAACTCCTGAACCTGGGGCAGGCGGGAGGGCAGGTGGGGAGCCAGGGGGAGAGAGAGGGTCGCAGCTCAGCCTAAGAGCCCAGGGTGGCCGGGAGGACAGGACGACGCTGGGGTGGCTGTCACCTCGCCTGTGGCTGGCCAGTGCAGGGCAGGCGCACTTCTGACCACAGACCCCACCCAGTCTGCCTCTGGGTCCTCCACCCTGTAATCAGCCACCCTGGCTGCCAGCTGCCCCCCAACATCCCCGCCAATGAGGCGTTCTGGACCAGTGCCTCCAGCGTGGCTCAGACCCTGGGCAGCTACATGATCCAGGCCAGACCCTTGTCCTCTGCCCACTGATCTCCCCGCTCCGGGGGCAATCAGGGCCGAGGGCAGCCACCAGGAAGGGCCCAATAAAGGCTTACTCACCCACCTTCTTCCTAACCAGTGACATGACCCCAATGCGCGTGAGCACGTGCTGCCTCGAGAGGCCCTCGCGCGGCACGCCGTCCGCAAAGGTCTCCGCGCCGTCAGCCCCCGGCTCACACAGGTGCCGCATGAAGAGGGACACATAGGCTCTGGGGCAGGAGGACCAGGGCTCAGGGGGTGGGATGCCAGCAAGGACCCTCTGATAGCTCCGGGATTGGAGCGTGACCCCCGGGGCACCCCCTGGCTGGAATTCATCGTGTGCTTCCCACCCAGGCCTGCTGGGCCAGCCTGCGGGGAGGGACGGAGGAACCGTGCCTGGTAGGGGAACCTCCTGGTCAGCCTCAGCCTGGACAACCCAGATCCTCCTCCCTGTCGTTGACACCAGCTAGTCTGGCAGAGGTGGCTGTTCGGGGTTTTCTGCAACTTACCCCTGCCCAGCACCAGGACCCCAGCCACCTCCTTGGCAGGGAGGGCAGGGAGGTCTCCAGCGCCCTTGGCCTGGCGGGAGCGGGGCTGCTGTCCGTGGTGCTGATTCACGCAGCCAGAGCCAGCCCGCCCCGCACCAGGGCCACCGTTTCGGCCCCGTTACCTGAATTCCTTCTCGCTCTTCCCACGCAGGTCCCGCACCAGCCAGTGGGAGTTGAAGGCATCCTGGGGGGGCATGCCCCAGCGCATGATGGCATTCAGAAAAGCCTTCCGCTGTCGGGCATTGAAGCCCAGCACCTGGGCAGGACAAGAGCATAGCATTCGGGGTCGGGAAGAAAGGCGCGGGAGGAGGGACAGCAGGGAGGGGACATGCAGAAGGCAGGGCCTCCGACGAAGGCAAGAACCAGACCCTGGCTCGTGCCCAGACAGACTTCCACTAGGTGGGTGACGGGGCAAATCCCAGCCTCACACCCCGCCCCTCCACCACACCCCAGGGGGGGCTGCAGGGATGAGCTCCTGTTCTGAGAGAGGATGAGATGGATTGGGAAAGAGGACGGGGGAGCAGGGGGGTGCAGGCAGGTCCCACCTCGATGTTGCCACCAACACGAGCAAGAAGAGGGGGCAGGGGCTTGTCCCTGTCACTTTTCAGCTGCCTCCGGGACTGCCGCCGTCCGCCTGGGGGGCAACCACACCCCTCAGCAGAGCCCAGGGTAACCTGATCACCCACTGCATCTGCCAAGTCATCCCAGGACAGCAGGATCCAGCCCTCGAGCTTGTTCTGATGCCCTTGGGGGACCCCAGGCTGCCCAGCGGCTCCCCAACATGCAGCCTCAGCCCCAGCCTGGTTCACCAGCTCTGAGACTCACTCTGCCCTTCTGGCCTTTCCTCAAAGTCCTCGTCCTCATCCTCAGAGCCGATGGAATACTCGGACTGGTTATCTGACAGCTCGTCCTGCCACTCTGGGGTGGGAGAGGAGGCAGGGGGCACAGAGTGAGTGATGCCAGCGGAAGCCCATCCCCGGCCCACCCACCCCCAAGGCCAGGTCGGGCCCTGTCGCCCAGCAAGTAATAGCAGACCACGCAGGTCAGCATTAACATGCACAGGGCTGTCCCCTCTGACCTGCCGGAGCCGGCCCCAGGCCCTCTCCCCGGTGCCACGCCCCCAGCCGGGACACGCACCCTGGTCCTCCTGGGAGGCATCGTTGTAGTTGACCTGCTTGCGGACGCGCTTGCCCTTGCCCAGGTTCCGGGCCAGGTCCTCCTGCTGCTGCTCGTAGTGGTGCCGCAGCAGCTTCTCCCAGTAGTCGGGGTCCACGTTCTCCTCCTGCTTGATGATCTCCCGCTCCACCTCCTCCTAGAGATGCAGGCGCACGGCTCAGTGGGGCAGGGCCGCAGGGAGCACCCCACGGGCACAGGTGCCAAGGCAGGCGAGTGGCTGGGCCTCTCGGGCCCCGTGCCGCCTCCAGGACACCCGCCACCGCTGCAGCGGCCAGGCATGGACCGCAAGGCCCGCCTGCTCAGGACCCTCCCTGACGGCCCCGTCCCGCTGACCTTCCTCCTCCCGCTGCCCGTCACACTCTCACTCACTCACTCGCTCCTTCAGGCAGGCACGTGCCTACATTCCCCGGCCTTGTGCCAGGCACTGGCACCGTTTCAAAAAGAAAAGTGGCGCCCACGGAAGGATCGCAACGCCCGGGGCCCACAGGGAGAGCGCTGGGCGTTTAAGTGGAAGTGGGGGCCACTGGGGAGAGGCCCAGGAACTGAGGGTCTGCCGGCAGGAGCAGAGCGGAGCGCGCTGGGCGGGACGCGGGCGTGTTCTGGGGTCGGGAGCCGTCCCGGGGCCTGAGCTCCGCGGGGCTGAGCAGGTGGCGGGAGGTCACTGGGCAGAGCGGGGCGGGGCCAAGGCGGGGCGGGGGCGGGGCGGGGGCGCGGCCACGGCAGGGCAGGGCGGGCCGGGCGGGGGCGGGGGCGCGGCGGGAGCGGGGCCGGGGGCGCGGCGGGGGCGGGGCCGGGGGCGCGGCCGCAGCAGGGCGGGGGCGGGGCCGGACCGCGGCGGGGGCGGGGCCGCGGCGGGGGCGGGGCCGGGGGAGCGCCGGGGCCGCGGCGGGGGCGGGGCCGGGGCCGGGGGCGGGGCCGCGGGGGGGGGGGGGCCGCGGCGGGGGCGGGGCCGCGGCGGGGGCGGGGCCGCGGGGGGGGCGGGGCGGCGGCGGGGGCGCCGGGGCCGCGGCGGGGGCGGGGCCGGGGGCGGGGCCGCGGCGGGGGCGGGGGGCGGGGCCGCGGCGGGGGCGGGGCCTCACCACGCCGTCCTCTTCGCGCACCACGTACTGCGCGACCTTGAAGGAGCTCAGGTACTCGTTCATGTTCTGCAGCTCCGTGTCGTCCGTGGCGTCCTGGTTCCTGTCCAGCAGCTTGGAGATGGCCGCGTCGTCGTAGTGGATCACGCTGCTGTCCTCCACGTCCTTGTTGTCCCCTGCGCGCACGGCCGCGGGCTGGGTGTCTCGGGCCTGCGGCCGGGCCGGGCCCTGACCTCCGCCCTTTGCCCCCGCAGGGCTGCAGCCGAGGGGCACGGTGACCAGGGACGCCCGCAGCGGCCGTCCTGCCCCCTCGGCAGCGGGGCACCTCGGTGAGGGCACCGGTGGCGGGGGCAGCGGAGCCCAAAATTGCAGACAAGGGAGCAGCGGGCCGCGCGGGGCGGCCGGTCTTCCCCAGGGGCAGCCGCGGAACGCACAGAAGGGGCTGGGGGACTGCTGCCCCTACCTGGGGGGGTGCTGCCATGCTTTTCTTGGCGCTGGCGGCCAGGGCGCCCCCTTTGGAGGTCTGGATGTCGGGGATGGGCGTGACCGGCCTCTGGCCCTGAGACATCATGCCTGGGCAGAGACAGAGGGGCTGAGGGCAGGAAGGCAGCGCCCAGCGACACCCGGCCAGGAGACAGGGAGGGGGGCGCAGAGGAGAGGCCGTGGGCGAGGTGGCCGGGGCGCAGGACCGGGGTCTCAGGCAGGGCCACCCCACGCCCAGCCCCCCGGAGGCCCACCCTCCACGTCGTCCTTGAAGAGCTCCTCCGTGCCGAACTTGAGGATGTCGTCCAGCTCCTGCTTGGTCATGGAGCCCGACTTGGAGCCCAGGCCGGGCCGCACCACCAGGTGGGTGAGCATCATCTTGCGTTTGGCCACCTGCGTGATGCGCTCCTCCACCGAGGCCCGCGTCACGAAGCGGTAGATCATCACCTTCTTGTTCTGGCCGATGCGGTGGGCGCGGCTGAAGGCCTGGGGGCAACCTGCAGCTCAGGCCCGAGGCTGCTCGAGGCTAGGGCCGTGCGTGCGTGCGTGCGTGCGTGCGTGCGTGCCCACGAGCGCATTCTGCACAACCAACAAGGAGCGGCGGGTGGAGGTGTGTGCCAGGTGACACTCACTCCCTGTGCCGGGTCTCATGTGGGCCTGGGGGCTGGCAGCAGGGGGCGTGGGGGGTGCCAGCCTCCGGTAGTGAGCCCCTGGGGTCTGGAAACCCCCACCACTTTGCAGAGTGGCCAGCTCAGGGGCTGCTCGGGGTTCAGAAGACACGAGCTCCAGCCCTGTATGATGGGACGGGCGTGTCCGTGCATGAGACACGAGTTTGTGCGCGTCCCTAAAAAAAGAACTCAACATGCCCTGCCCCAAACGGGGTGCCCGGGGGGTCAGGTGTGTCTTCTCCCACAGCGTCTAGACCCTCACCCTCCCCTCCTTCCTCGCCGGCCTCAGTGGCCGCCTCTGTCTCTTCCACCCCGGCTCCGACAGACCTGCCCCACCCACTCTTCTCGTCCCTCCGGTGCAGCCCCCCCACGGCCTCGGCCAGAGGCGGGGCCCCAGGGGTTAGCAACAAGGCCGCATGTCCTTGCACACCTCCCCTGCCCTCTGCGGGCCTGTTTCCTCCTCTGCGCACGAGGAGCTGGAGGGGGGTACAAAGCCTCCACTCACCTCCCGGGGCCCCTCTTGGGCCGAGACTCCACGGGGCTGGCCGGGGGTCGGGGGTGGAGCCCTGAGACACAATCTGGCGGAGGGAGGAAGAGGAGGAGAAACCCACAGAACCAGCGGAGGGCAGGGGCCACCCAGAGCGTCGGCGTCAGGGCCACAGACCTGTATGTCGTTGTGCGGGTTCCAGTCCGAGTCGTAGATGATGACCGTGTCCGCCGTGGCCAGGTTGATGCCCAGGCCGCCCGCCCGGGTCGACAGCAGGAAGCAGAACTGCTGGGCCCCAGGGGCTGAAGAGGAGACGGGGGCACCGCGGATGAGCGATGGGCACCCCCGGAGAGAGGGGTGAGCGCAGGCGGGCGGCAGCCAGGGTGGGAGGGGAGGCCAAGGGAGGGGCAGGAGCTGTGACCGCAGCTGTGACGGCAGCAGCCACCCCTGCGTCAGAGAAGCTACAGGAGCCCTGGGCCGGGGCCGGAGCAGCCCCCACCTGCGCCCCGCCCAGTCCCCAGCCCCCGCAGCTGGGCGCCAGACCAGGCAGGACGTCCATGTGAAAGCACAGCCAGGTCGAGTCCATGCTCCCGAGGGTTAGCCTTGGCTCTCCCGCCCGTCCCCTGCTGCCCCCACCTGTGGTGCTGTCAGCACGACCGGGGACACTCGGGGTGACCTCAGCCACTCCAGCGGGGTCCCGACTATCACAGCACAGCTGGGCTCAGGCCTTGGGGGTGTCTTTGCTGAGCACCCTGGGACTGACCACGGTCCCCTCTAGAGCTCTGACCACACCTGCCCCATGGCAGCCAGGCCCATGGAAGACCAGGAAGCTCTGCGCCCACCTCAGCTTTGCCCCAGGTGGGCTTGAGGGTGCTTGGGCAGCAGAGCCCCACTGCAGAGCTCCCTCCTTTGCAGACCCTCCTGGCCCTCACCCTCCTCTCTCCCTCCAGGGCAGCAGGAGGGCAGACTGGGCAGTGTGGGCAGCTGGGACCCCACGCCTTCCTCTCGTGCCTCTGGGGAGTAGGCCGTGGGGAGCACGAGCCCCCATCCAGCAGTGCTTATAGCCGGGGGGCTGTCAGTGTCAGGAGCCCACAGGTGCCAGCCCGACCTCGGCCTCAGCTTCGCTCCTGTCCGCTCTGAACAGCTGTTATCAGCCGGGCCCCTCAGCACCCTGGGGGCCCCCAGGAGGTGCCGTGGCGGGACCTTCTAGCGTTTACAACTAAGGGGACACTCTGGGGCCTAAGGGCCGTCTGCTTTCTCCAGCCCCTTGGGTGGCGGCTAATCTGAACACCAGCTGGGTGGCCTGGCCAGGGCCTAGCCGAGGCGGGGGTCTCATCAGGAAGCCCTGGGCGAGGCGGGTACCGTTGAATCGGTCGATCGCCTCTTGCCGGAGGCCCCCGGTGATGCCGCCGTCGATGCGCTCATACTTGTAGCCCTCATACTCCAGGAAGTCCTCCAGGAGGTCCAGCATCTTGGTCATCTGCAGGGGACACAGCAGGCCGGTGGCTGCCACAGAGCAAGGACCCCCCCAAGGGCCATCGGCAGGGACCCCCACAACAACCAAGGAGGACAGAGCAGCCTGCTGGGTGGGGGCAGCTGGGAGCCAGGCAGACCTGACGCAGGGCTCCAGCCTCAAGCCCCCAGGGCCAAACCAGCCGCGGTGGCCGGCCTGAGTACCAGCTGCCCCCGCTCGCACCTCGCCCCTGCTCCTGCCCCGGCCCCTGACTCTTCCTGGAACGCCCACCTCAGAGCACCGCCTCTGTGACCCCGATTTCCCTCCCTCCCCTGCATGCATAAAGGTGGTCCCCGAGCCCGCAGACCCTGGTTCGCCCCCTCCGAGAGTGCGCGCTCAGCTGCAGGGAATGCTCCAGAAGGCAGCCCCTCCGCGCGGGAAGACGCTGCAGCGGTCCCTGCCGCGCGGTTGCCGATGAGAGTCCAAGGCCAGGGTTGCCGCTCCCGTGGGCGCCGCTCTGACCCGTGCCGCCCCCACGGCGTGCGGGGTTGTTCTGGGAGGGGTGGTGCGTGCGTCCTCTTGCTGGATACTCAGCGTGGGCATCAGATCCGGGCCCTCTCGTCCTCCAGGTCTGCGGGGTCTCGCCACACCTGACTTCACCTCGTTCTCTTTCTTCTGCAGCCCCTGCTGGAGGCCGACGTCCGCAGGCCGCCTGCCCTTCTCACCGGGCTGTCCCCTGTGCTCTGTTCTGGGGGCCCTCAAGCCAGGGCCCCGGTCACCGGTGTCCTTGGCACCAGGTCCAGGGCTGTCCAGTCCACGCAGGTCCTTTCCTGCCCGGTCCTTCTTGTCTCATTTCCCCTGCTTGTGCTCCTTGACAGCTCCCTGACCGACGGGGCTACGCCATGATCTTGAAGCATCATAAACATGTTTATTTAGTTTTTTAGGCTCTTCGATCCTTCTGGTCAGGAGGCATCTGTTCAGCTGTTTGCAGATGTCTTCACACTCAGTTCTGTCGTGAGTTTGGGGGTGTGGGGATGGAGGCTCGTTTTGGAGGGGCGGGCTCTGTCCCTCTCACTTTCCTCTGGCGCATTTCTAGAAGCCGCAGTTCTTGTCCTCCGACCCGCCCAGCTTGAGTGCAGAATCATGGCTCACGTGAGGAAACAAAAGGGCTGCAGACGCAGCCCCAGGCCGCCCGCTGTCACAGGCGTGGTCAGTTTCCCCCCAATTCCTTGGCCTGCCGGGGACCCCAGGCGGTGCTTCCAGAGCCTTCGAAACACAGGGGGCCAGATCCGGTGTCTGGCACGGAGCACCGGCTCAGTCCCGCCAACAGGACCTTGTTTAGCGCCAGCCCCTCAAGGCCATCCCTGTGCCCCCCACCCCACCTCTCTACCTCCGTCTCCCAAAGGACGACGAGTGTCTTGAGGGCGGGTCAAGACCACATGCCTGCACAGCCTGACACAGGCGAGGTCACAGCAAAGGACGCGGAAGGGTGGACCCAGATGGACACGCCCCCGAGGCCGACGGCCCTGCCTCTGACCACCCGAAAAGCAGCGGTGCTGCGAGTGCAACCTCGGGGTTGAGCTGGGGGTTGAACCCCCCGGGGTTCCCTCAAACTACTCCAGAGCGCCCCCTTCGTGAAAACCCAGACTTGTGTCAGGTCACCTGGCAGGGGCTGTCACCCCAGCCTGGACGCGAGGCCCCCCCACTGCTCTGCAGGGCAGCCGGCGGGGCCTGTGAGGCGGCAGGGGCCCCGAGCACCCGCGCTGGCCCCGGCACAGACCAGCAGCCCCCTGGGAAGGGCGTCG